TATATATATATGTATTCCTCATGTCCTCATGAGTACAATTAAGTGCTCTGGAATATTCATTTTCCACAATGTTGTCCATAGTTTATTAAGATCCATACAGTCAAAAGGTTTTGTGTAGTCAATAAAGCATAGCTAAACATCTTTCTGGTATTCTCTGCTTTCAACCAAAATCCATCTGATATCAACAATGATATCCCTCATTCCACGTTCTCCTCTGATTCTGGCTTGGACTTCTGAAAGTTTTTGTATTATCTTTAGAAAATTTTCTTGCATGCAATCTCAGTGGTATTGTCTGATGATTCCCACGTTCCATTGGGTCACCTTTCTTTTGAAAGGGCACAAATACAGATCTCTTCCAGTCAGTTGGCCAGGTAGTTGTTTTCCAAATTTCTTGACATAGAAATTTCTTGACAGAGTGAATGCTTCCAGTGTTACATCAACTTGTATTCCATCAATTCCTGTTGCTTTGTTCTTTGTCAATGCTTTCAGTGCAACTTGGATTTCTTCCTTCAGTATGATTGGTTCTTAATTGTATGTTACCTCTTGAAATGGTTGAACAATGACCATTTCTTTTTGATACACTGACTCTGTGTTTTCATTCTTATTTCACTTGATCCTTTTTATATTATTCAGTCTTTTGCCCATAGAATCCTTCAGTATTTTAAGTCAAGACTTGATGTTTTTCTTTGGTTCCATCAGCTTGAGAAATGCAGGGTTGTCTTTCCTTTTGGTTTTGTAATTCCAGATCGTTGAACATTTCTTTATAATATTTGGCTTTCTCTTTTCAAACAGTCCTTTGAAATTTTATATTCAGCTCTTTTTTCTCCTCATTTCTTTCATTTGCTTTAGCATCTCTATGCTGGAGAGTAATTTTCAGAGTCTCTTAATGACCTTTTGCTTTTTCCCTGTGATGTTCATCCCACAACTCTTCTGGTCTTCAGACTTTCATGTCCATTACATCAAATTTGTTCTTCAGATTATCTCTAAATACATGTGGGATATATTCAAGGTCATATTTTGTTGGCTTGGTTTAATTTTCTTCAGCTTCAGCATGAATTTGCATATGAGGAATTGATGGTCTGTTCCATAGTCAGCCCCTGTCCTTGTTTTGGCTGATGACATGGAGCATTTCCATTGACCCTTTCCACAAATGTAGTCAATTTGAATTCAGATGTATGCCATCTAATGAGGTCCATGTATATAGTCATCTTTTATGTTGTTTAAAAAGGAATTTTCAATGAAGAAGTCATTGGTCTTGCAAAATTGTAT